TGGTTCGATAATGACTGCAAGAGGAAGCTTATTTGAGACGTTTATTAACAACTGAAATTTATAGACATCCAGCAGTGGTAGAAATGCTGAAATTTTCTTATCATTAACAATTAAATAAAGACGAAGATATTACCAGTAAGTTTAAAAGTAAGTGTTTGATTTTGGAATTCGATTTTTAGGACACCGCGACGCATGTTCTGTCTGATGTGTATCTAATCAATCGATACCGTAATCGGCAATCACTATAAATATGCGGACAAGACCCAACCTCTGTATTTAGTAACACTTTCACTAAGTCAAATAAAGAATGTTCATTGTATGTGGCTGCAAATAGCTGTTAAATGGAAATAATACATAGATGATTGTTACAAAAGAATAGTACGTTGATTGACCATAAGCGTAATATATGTTCTGGATGGTAACCTATTGGAAAATACAAAAAAGAACAAATGCAAATCCTTAATTGAATATCATTTATTGTACATCAATGCATTATCATACACATCGAATGGACACTCACTTGCAAAAGTCTTGCACCCCCCATGCATACGTTTAATTTATACAAAATTGTTTTATTGGTAAATAAAACGGGACAATTGGGACTCTTTAATCCCGTGCGCTTTTGTAGCATCACTTTATCCCCACCCCCGTTACAGAGGTATATCAGCGACAGTAACAGCTGAAGAACCAATAATCGCAGAGTTATCTTTCATACTTACCTTGATGCGTTTTACAACGTTCACCGCAGATTTGAACGAAATTTCGAGCAACACTTCTAATAATTTGCAGTTTATATACCCAGACAATTTTTCAATTGATATTATATATATACAGGGTGTCCCAAAAGTAATGGCACAAAACAATAGTTATTTGGAGACATCTACCATCGATTAGGGGAAACTGGTGGCTTTAGGACCATAGTTAATATTTTGGGACGTCCGAAAATTTCAACTCCAGAACAAGTGGAAGACGTTCTGGTTCGTGTTGGAGAAAATCCAGAAATAAGCACAAGACGATTGGAAACTGCAACTGGCGTAAGCAAGTATTCAGTTCATATAATCATTCAGCAATAAAATCTCCATCTTTACCATTTTACGCCGGTATAGAATTTATTAGGACGATTTTACTAGAGCCGTTAATAATTAACTAAACCAACATTTTACGAATCGGTGGATAGATCGTAGAAGTTCTTGGGTCTGGCCGGCGCAAAGTCCTGACTTTTACCCATTAGATTTTTGTGTTTGGGGTTATGTAAAATCATTAGCGTATGATCAAACGGTAGACACCCGAGATGAGTTGTTAAATAAAATTATGAATACAGCCGAATAATTTCGAAATAAAAATATGTTTTTTAAAATTAGACGATCCCTCGATAAACGCATTTCTAAATGTACTGAAGTTAACGGGGCACATTTTGAGCAATTGCTGTAGAAAATTAATGTTTTATTATTAGCGATTACGATAAAAATATGCTACTGTTAAAGAATGAAGTTTAGTAAATATTGATTCACTTAGATACTTATTGTGGCTTGTTTTTTGTAAATACTGCATTTTGTGGTGTAATCGCAAATATCTCGGAAACAAAGGCTGGTTGGTACATCGACTAAGAATACCTTTTTTATACAAAATTAATAGGCGATTAGACCCAACCAGTTTAGAAATCAGAATACCGGGTGACCAAAAAGTTAAAACAATTTTTTGCCCAGATATCGCCGTAAGTGGTTTTTTCCACAAGTTGATCAAAATCTGATGATAAATTGTGATTTCTTATGCTCAAAAACCCCTGTGTACCAAATTTCGTTAAAATATGCAGCTCCGTTTACAGTAGAATGACGAGAAACTGAAATAAAAATGCAACTTTGACGCCCTGTATGTCGGCAACCGTCAACTTTTGGACTAAGTTAAGTTGTATTAAATCATCACATTTTCAGCCCAGGAATCCACCATTTTGTTTTGTGCTATTACTTTTGGTATACCCTGTATAGCATGAATAGTCAATATCAATTCAGTTCATATGAACACCACATTTTCTTGAAAAGCTATTTATTACATAGCTGTCAGATACATTAAATACTACTAAGTACACTTTTAGATTTAAAAGATAATATTTCGAAACATCCAAAAATACAAATAGTATTAACGACTAACATAAGTAACACACTTATAGTATAATAAATAACAACACAAATAATTTTATAGGGTTGAAAACGACCTCTGCAGGATGGAAATTATTTCTTCAGTTTGATGTTAGTTTTTGTTTCCGCTGAAATAGTTTTCACTAAAAAAAGAAACATTCACTTGAATATTGCCATTCTACATTTTGATAACCAGATTGATTTTTAAATATAAACCAAATCAAAATTACGTATCAACATTTTAGAGTAAGCAGTTGTAAATCCATGTTTAGGTAGAGGAACAAACAAGTAAATCGGACAAAAAAGTCTAATAGCTGCCTATCCCATACTGGGTAACTCTACAATACTATACAATCCCATACTAATAACATACTGGCAAAATCATGAGTTGTCGTAGGGCTGCGCAAATGGCTTGGTGCGCGAACCCAACGGATCAGATTATCCTGCAGGAAACTCATACACAACTTCTAAATTGTGTGGCTGCTGTTCCTAGATATTCAGCTGGGAAAAAAGTCGATTTGAAGAGTTAGGAAAACAGTACCTAATTGTCATTGAAGATTTTAGCAGCAATTATTGCCGAATCAGAAAACAACCTACAGGCCAACTCAATCTGCACATTTTTATCAACAAAACCAAATGTATGACCATCGTGAAAGATTTGCTCAGATGTAAGCAAGTGGTGGAGGAAAATCTCATAGCACAGATGATGCAATTCAGATATCTAAGCAAAGACATATCAAGCATCCACGACCCAGTTAAAGACCTGAGGCTGAGGAACTACATTAACAAAGTCCGCGAAGACACCAACAAGACCCAACACATGCTAAGGGTGGACAAAATGAAAACACTGAGAACAATAGTGGGGAWAACAAAAACAGATATCAAAGAACAATGCAAAATACAAGATATTGTGGGATGGGGACGACAACGTAAGAGGTAGTGGTGACAACGTAAGTACAGTRGAATAGATGTCATAAGATGRGCCTACAAGATAAATATATTTCTAAAAAACAAGATCAGTTGGAATGCAAATACCTGTTGCTCCTTAAAYATCAAAAGCTCAATTATCCATAGATCAATATAGAAAGAGACAATTAAATAGATTAAGGTAATCGGTGTAGTAAGCAAATGTCAAGAATACATCCCATAAAACGTTATACAGCGTGATACTATTGTCTCTTTGATTTTYATTGMTTTATGTTTATCCATGGTTACCGGAGTTTTTAATAATTACGAAGRAACAGGTATTTGCGCAATGTTAATTATGTAGAGTAGAYTACCTTGAAAAACATTGWTGCCATCCTTCTSATCTAGTTTTTCGCAAATATCTGAGTTTTTAATAACATTTAATTGTTTTTACTATTTTTTCTGTACTSCCAAGACACCCCCAGACAACACCTCCAGAGGAATAAAGCCAATTTTCAATCACCCTATTATAAATAGGAAAAACATTTTGGCGGTAGTGGTAAAAAAAGCTTAGATATGAATCTGTGTGTTTGAAAAGAACCGCTTTGAAATGTGGACAACTCACAAGAGGTGTTCGAAGTTCTACCCCTATATTATTTTCGACTTCGGACTATTCGAATTAAGCGGCGCAAGAGAACAATGTAAGAATTTTTGCTATTCGATTCGCATCGCTGAATTCGATTGCTGTTGTTGTAAGCTTAAGGTAGTTAATAATTGACTGCTTACCATCCAGGAACATTAGCGGGATCATCACATCTAAAGGATTCTTCATTATACACGGTTTTGTTAGCGCAATATCCTTTCTGAGGTTGCACCCCATTCCTGAAAGTGTTGGAATTTAGAGTTGCAGAAATCAAATAGAAACGATAAGCATTCGCTTAAATATGCATGTCAAATTTACCTGCATATATAAAATTTGTCGCAGTCTTCAGGATGTGCGAACGTTGGATGAGGAAGCGTCCTGCCGTCGGGACCTTGCACATTACCTGCATTTTGACATGTCAGCTATTTAAATTGCTACGTGTACACGAGTGAAGACAAATTATACCTTCGGGGCACGAAAATCCATCATCTAAAGAGTCTCTTTTGCTATTCGTACATTGACGACCACTGCTTTCTGGCCACGCGCATGTGCTGGCAACATCGTCATAAATTAAGCCTAAGAATGACAATATTCGTGTTAAATACATGACCATGACCCACTGAAAAATGCCATGGAAAACTTGCTGTCTTGTTACTAGCAACTTTAAACGTTAGTATTTTTGAGGACAAGGGACTTTCTTTGCAATTTTTAAAGATAACTGTTCTTTTGAAAAAAGGGTGAAAATGGTGTGATAAAAAACTGAAGGCCTTTGACATTGCTAAAAACACTATTTCAAAAGAAATGATCAAACTACTTGCATTAAAATAAAATAATGCTAAAATGAAAATTTTAATTTTAGAAATTAATTTTCGGCATAAAATAAATATCTTTGCTAAACAATACAGTCCCTTGAAGATGTGCAAAATATATATTTTATACCAATTTTATGGATAATTTATAATTTCAATTTTTTTAAAAAACGAAACAGCAAACTTTCCTCGACATTTTTTGTGAAGCATCTCTATGCACATTATAAGGATCGTGGTTTTCCCACGTATTATAATACCCATATAAGAACAATTTATAATTTACCTGGAGGACATGGCAATTCAATGGGTTTACCGTCAACACAGTTGAAGAATTTGTCGCACACTTGAGGATCATCATGCCGATAGAAGCCGTTTGCTCTTGGACATCCTTTGCTCGGTTTTGGTTCCTCTAAAATTGAAAATGTTAACTGATCCATCCTTTACAGATGCTGAAGACAGCAGTTTAGCCATTTGAAGTGTTTGTGAGACATTTCATACGTGTATGGTAAAAACGAACTCTAATATACTGGACGCTCTCTCTTACAATGTACACCATTGGGATCTCCTAAAGGCAACGAGATACAGAGTTGATCAAATGACGGAAATATTGAGCATTTTAATGTTTTTTTTAAAGCCATATTGAAATTAAATTAAATTAGACGTCATGGTTTTTGAACCATCCTGAAAAAACTGCAAATACGTATATTTAAAAAATATTTGCAGCAAAAAAACTGTTAATCCAATTTTGATGAAACTTCGGCTCCTTACATTTTTAATAAATGTCAGATTTTTTTATTGGTGTCTAGTATTGCATAGTAACAGTCCACTTTGATTTTTCTTATGGACGCCATATTGACTTTTTATCGTACTAAATAGAGACAAAAATTAGATTTTTAATGGTGTAACGGGCATGGTTAGAAAGGCAATATTTTATTCAAAAACAGCATTTTACAATTTTTTGTTGGAATCTGTCGTCAAGGTGACAATGACATAAATAAAGTTGCGTTGTCAAGTTACTAATGTCATTCCTTTAACGTGCTGTACAATTATTTATTATTATTATTATTATTATTTATGTGAATAATTTGCATTCCCAATTGTTATTATTCATTAACTTGACAACAAGGAAGAATGGTAAGATTCGGTTATACTTGCGCAATAATCGAAACTCTGTTGTTTGATCATCTAGAGCAGCTTGGAACATTGCAGAATTTAAGAAGAACCCGTGTCGTGAATGCTAATCTAAATGTGATTAATGTTTTGGCACAAATCAATCCTGAATCAACTCTACGGAAAATTGCTGGAGATTGCAATTTGTCAAAATCTGGGGTCCAGAAAATTATCCAAAAACATAAATATCATGACTTTAAATTTCCAGGAGACGGAGAAAGAAGACTCGAATTTTGTCAGTGGTTTCAAACTCAACTGAGGAAAGATGCTGCTTTCGCTACTAAAATACTATGGTCAGATGAAACCTTATTTACGAATAGTGGAATGTTCAACAGAAAAAATAAACATTTCTATGCGGTTCAGAATCCTCACTTAGTGCAGGTAGTGAGGCCACAAATTCGCTTTTCTGTTAATGTTTGTTGTGGTCTACTAGATAATAAACTCCTGGGACCTTACATATACCTGATCGTTTGAATGGTCCGACATATTTAAGTTTCATCCAAAATGAGTTTGAGGAAATAAAAATAGAAAAGAAGAATAATTTACCTCCACATAATGCGCGAATTGTTAGAGAATATTTAAACGAACGGTTTTGCCATACATGGATTGGAACTAATTTCTTATGGGAAGCCGTGAAGGATAGACTTTATGATAAACCAGCTCGAAATATAGATTTTTTAAAGTAAAAACTTTGGAAACGTTTCAGTCTATTAAGGCAGAAAGCATTCGCGACCCAGTATTAAATATGAACAGAAGAACATAGCTTTGCATTGATCATAGAGGCGGTCACTTCGAACAATTTTTGTAAGATTACATGTGTAGCGTAATAAAGCAGGTTTTGTATGAAATAGTTAATTATTTCCCATAGGGACTTGATCCCATTGGAAAACTATCAAATTAATTTGCAAGTATAATATTAATCTTTAACCCAAGTGTGTCACGCCATTAAAAAGCTAATTTTTTTAACAATAAAAAGTCAGTATGGCGCCCATCAGAAAAATCAAAGTGGACTGTTACTATGCAATACTGGACACCAATAAAAAAAAATTGACCTACTATGAAAAGGGCATATATTGAAAATGTAAATAGCCCAAGTTTCATCAAAATCGGATTAATAGTTTTTTTGCTGTGAATATATTTTTAAATATACATGACATCTAGGTTTAATTTCAGTACGACTTTAAAAAAAGCACTAAAATGCTCAACATTTCCGTCATTTGATCAACTCTGTATCTCGTTGCGTTTACGAGATCTCAATGGTGTACATTGCAAGAGAGACCACCCTGTATAATGTGATTCCTATATGGTTACCCTATTTCGGATATACACGACAGTTAGTATTTCTTGCGGAACGTAATTTTCTTTGGCTCTTATTTTCGTTTACTGCGGATTGAAAATGTTTATATTTCTGTTTGACAATCTTTACCAGCATGTTCACCCCACGCTTATGACAGCACATCTTTTCCTGTCTGTAATGTATTGCTATATATGATCAAAGCTTGATTATTTGCGGCGCATACCGCAAACATGTTATTGCACATAAAGCTTAACTAAGTCAAAGTTCATTTTTAACAATCATTTAGCGTGACTTGGAGCAGCTAAGAAAATCCAGTGTTCTTTCACGGGGCTTCTACATTGCTTTTTATATATATATACAGGGTTACTCATTAGTGCGTCAAAGTGCGTTAGCGTTAGCAAACAATTTTGACCAGCAGATCCCATAACAAAGATCATGTCAACTAGTTCCGTTGTTTCGAAATTCATCTGTATTTATTTAACTATAA